AACACAAAATTAATGAAATTTGCCATTCGTACCCTCAAACCCAATCTATGCAAACAATGTGAATGGTTAATCACATTAGCTTTCCCTTGGTGATTACCCTCCCCCCCCCGACCCCCTCCCGTTCTTTGTGTTGCTATGTCGTGTTGNGATTAGCAATCATGTCTTCATTTCCCGGTAGTTATCTCACTGACTATATAAAAATGACTTTGACTGCAGTATGCACGTGTACAGATGCAGCGAAATGACCATGGATACATTGTGCAAACCCATCTTTCTGACTTCTTTATTCAAACTCGTAATAGTAAAATTAAAGGAGGACGGCGATTGGACCTAATTTGAGGGAGGAGGAACGTGAACCTCTATGGTCAAAACACAGAGTTCACAAGCGAACTCAGCTTACATACCGTTTCAAGCATTCCGGCCTGATAAGAAATGACAGCAAGAACGCCACTGTTGTCGCTTCGCTGCCATATCCTTCGATGTCTTCAGCCAACCAGTTGTGGAAGGCGCGTGGTACCCACTCTACCTAATGGCTCTTCAGGCCTTGTCTCCACGTCATCTCCATGTGGTTTCCTCCAGCCCGGATTAGCTACAGCGAATACAGCGCGATGTGGTAGACGGTAGCTAGGCATACGCAATACGTACGCTAGCCAGCGAAGTCTACAAATCTGAATTCGATGTGCTAGCAGGTTTATACCTGATAGACTTCCAAACACACGACGGCTCACCTCCTGTTCGCTCCATCCTACGCGGGTTAAACTCAGTAAACACCGACAGTCGAAAACCTCTAGTCGATGGATATCTTCAATTCGAAAATTCAAGGTCTCGCAACCATAAAGCAGAAGTGAACGAACGCTAGCACAATACACACGACCGTTCAAATTCAGTGAAACATCGCGTCTGTCATGCAGTCATGTAAATGCTGCTCGAGCCTTGGAAATGTGGATGGTTATCTCTTTTGATGCGCTCCAGTCGTTGGTCACGCAATCACCTAAAAACGAAAAGTAATCCACTATAACTAATTCCTGGTCATTTAGTTTCAGAGGGGAAGTAGGCGACACCCAGTCCGGTAGCATCACTTTGCACTTTGAAGGTGTAAAGCACATACCCAATGTGGCAACAGAACTTGTTAGTCTATCAAGTGCGCTTTGCGTGTCCTGCGTACATCCGAACAGACGGACGACGTCATCGGCGTACTCGAAATCGCATAGTTTTTCCCCAGTTGCCCACCCAATACCTACCTTTTGGAGACCATTTAGTGCGTTCTCCAGCAATTCGTCTACGATGAAATTGAACAGGAACGGCGAAAGCGGGCACCCTTGACGAACGCCGCTGCTGGTGACGAACAGCC